TCCTTCAGGTGTTTTCACTGGAAATGCAAAATTTATAATTGCAGAAACATTTGGCATTCGTCGAACAACCTAAACAAAACAAATATTATGTAATAATAATTAGCACTGCTACTTTAGCATAAAAATACTTAAGAAACTTGCATATTTGCTTATGTTCATGCCTTGTCTCCCTCCTCATCCCCTTACCTAATTTTCAGTCTTTATTACCAAACGGGTACTCTGCTGTTGTCTCAATACAAACGAAGCAAGTGTTTCTTCTCGTCCCTTTAAATAAGTCAATTAATAACAGGACTGATAATGACTACGATTCCACTAGCTAAAAAAGCACCAAGAATATCAAACTGCCTAGATTATTAGTGTGAGCATACCATTTTACTGATTCTAGTGGGGTGCTCTCACACGCTTTGCGCAGCTGCGTCAGATCCTCTGATCCTGGACTGCATACCTCCAGTTAGTACCCATTGTCTGTTTACTGTATGTAAGCCACCTTTTCGAGGATAGTGGTCGTTTACTTTCTTGTGGGTACTGCTCACTAGCGCACTCACTGGCTGTCCGCAAATTGAACTCTCCCGATTCGACACTTTGAGGATAGCGGCGATGCTGCGGAACTTGTACCAATCACCAGCTCAATGACGCGTAATATTCGAATGGAGGCTGCTGCCCCTTCCACACCAAGATAAGGTGTCTGAGTTGAGGGCTGGAAAAACACAGCACTCCCCTACTCTCATTCTCCATTACGATTCTAAAAAGATGTTCGACTCGTTGAAAAAATCCTGGTATTAGCATGCATCGCAACTTACTTGATGATTGAGAACACAGGATGTTCCCCAACCGACTAAAACAATCTTGAGATCCGGATACTTTCGATGCACTTCCAATACTTTATGTGATATCAAACGGATACTGCGGTTAACTGAATCACAAAGTGACAGACTCCGGAAATTTGTAAAATTCAGCTTCACATACACCGTCCTTTCTGCGACGCTCGGCAGCAAAGTTCTAAAAAACGTCAATTTACGAAATTAACTCCTAGCCGAACAGGCAAAAAAGTTGAGACGAGCAATCTACTTTTCGTTCCGCTTACCATTTTCGGAAGGCTGCGACGCATCTTTTTTTAAAAAACTAAGTGCTACTTTCATAACAGTGCTTGTTATGTGCTTATCATACTGCTAAACAGTTCCTTTACTGCGCTTTTAAATGCCGAATAAAAAAAGCATTCTTACTTGGGTCACTCAAACAAGAAAACAGCCAAAAATGACCCGAGTGTTACCAGCAGTTTCGAGTCATCGTCTCAAAAAAATCCTGACTATGCACTGGCAGCAGCAACATATAAATCCTGCTCTAAAGACGGATATTCTTCTTTCCTACATTCACTAAATCAAAAATGATTGGGATGAAATTTGCAATAGCATCGCAGATGACTTCTGGTAAAATGAACCAAATCGCTCATATACTTGACCAAAATCGCATGGCCGCTCTGTTCATCAGAGCTTTTGAAGAAACTCTGCCCAAAGCCACCAAACCATACATGATTGAACCACCAGTAAAGCCTGCCACGAAGCCACAAGCAGCTGTTTGAGGAATTCAGTACTGCTGCTGCGGAATCACATACTGAACGTAAGCAGCTACTAAAACTTGACTCCATTCGACTCGGCTCGACATAGGTGTAGCATGCCCTTTCGGGTTATAGGCGGGTTTGAATCAAAACTTCAGTTTCAATCCGACTGGTGGAGTGGGAGATGGAGGAGGACCGAGGACGCTGGTTTCGATCGCAAGGGATCTCCAAAATGCAATTGAAATGACAAATCTAGAACGCTGGCATACTCCCGTACGATTATAATTTTCACATCATTACCTCAGAACTCACAAACAGAGCAATTTTACCAAAAATAAGTGCAAAATTGTGCGAGCTGAGCCGAGTTGTGTCTGCCCGAATATGGGTGTGCCAGATGATTTCTTTCTCAGACTCCATTTCTTCAGTTTGTTCCTCTGTATTCATCTTA